TGTTCTCTCCGTGCATGTGTGGGTTTTCTCCGGGTACTCCAGTTTCCTCCCACAGACCAAAAACATGCATGTTAGGTTGATTGGTAACTCTAAATTGTCCCTAGGTGTGAGTGAGAGAGTGAATGGTTTGTTGTCTCGTTTGTCTCTATGTGTCCCTGTGATGGACTGGAGACCTGTCCAGGGTGTCCCCAACCTCCTAGAGCGACTGCTGGACACGTGCACCAGCAAACAGAAAGGAAGATGCAGGTAAAGATGAAAAAAAAGGGTAAAATGGAGGAAAAAAAATGCATTAGTTACTTTTTTCCATTTTTAAACTAAACAAGTTTGTGATTTTGACTTCTTGAATGTCCACAACAGATTACACTGCATGAATCTAATCAAGAGAGATTTGAGTTCCCTTACTTGTATTCACCCCTGACATCATCCAGTTTGTGCAGAAACATTGTAGAGAACATTGGGCTTATCCACACGCATCTTGTGTGAATCTAGATAAATTGAGTCCTGGCTCTTACATTATTCTACCTCGTTATATATAAACAAACATCCTTGATGGAACCAGTATGAGTCTACAGATCAACACGAGAACCAACACGTCACCAGAATGCCGTCACTTAGTTCCTAAAACGGGCATTTACTTTGGCAGAAAGCTTCATTTCAGCTACAGGATCAAGTGAAAGGAGCACCATGAATGGCCCTGGTGTTTTGTGTAAAATACCCCTCCCTTTGGGAACATGCCAAGAACATTAGTGCATTCCTCAAAAACTACACGTCTGCAAACATCCCTCTGAAAGTGTATTACAGCCAGGCTCCAGCCGATAGAAGCATTGCCGACTTTTAGTTTCTTCTTCCACGACTGTGGCATTAATCTGAAGTTGTCGTATCGAAGTCGTGGTTTATGAACTGTTCTAAAGTTCGTCTGTCTTTCGGCTGCTAATGGTTTCTTTCATGCTGCAGATATCGACTAGGTTTATAAAACAAAGTCGACAAGAAAATGACACGAGCCATAAAGTTTTTTATTTAAACCTTTAATGGAGTAGTTCACGTTGTTGAAAATAACGATTTTGGTTTTAAGGCCAGAGAAGAAAAGGTTCATACAATGAATGTGAGAAGATAAGCAGGTGAAACTAGCTTGTTAATACACGAATAAACTGAAAAATGCAACAACAACCACTTCCTCTTCAATTCAAACTTCACTCATTCATATATGTGGTTTTCTATGGTTTATTATTGCAAAAAGAAAAAAAAAAAAAAACGTGATTTGAAATGCCAATGGGAATATTAATTTTGGACGGACCAGACGGGCTTTTCACCAACTCCCAATGTCTTACTTTTTCCTTTCTTTTAAATCTTACAGAAGTCATATGAACTTAGAAACTCAAACTGCAAATCGTTCAAAGCCAGAACATAATGCAGCTGTGGATCAGTTTTTGGATCAGTAAAGCCTTTTTACGCTGTCACTGAATGATCACTGCAACATGCTGTTTTCCGACGTCTGTCCAGCTGTTCTTCAGTAAGAACAACAGCAGGTTGACTTATCAAAGATGGCGCCAAACAAAACTCTACCAGGCTCCAAGTAGATGACCTTAACCCAAGTTTGAGCCAACTGGCACTAAGTGCTGTGATGTTATACTGGATCAATGCACTCTGGGGTCTCTGTGTTAACCTTATATGGATAAAACCCTTGGTGCCTCCATTCAGGAGTTACTGGTAATGTGAATGTATTGTATTTCTGTCCCATTCAGCAGGTTGGCTGTCAGCCTGCTCAAATGTAGGCTGGCATGATCCCAACTATCTGTGCAATCCTAGTATCTGCTTTCTACAGGCAGTTTTGATGCCAACCTAAGAATCCTCCTCTGGATGGCAGCTGGTTTCCATCCCAACAGTCAACCACTGACATGCTCACTGGCCAGTTCAACGCAAAACCAGCACATTAAACAGAAAACTATGCGCACTCATAACTTAAAATTTAGTTTGTAATTAACCTGACATGAATGGAGCTGTTGTTGGGTGCTTCTTTTTTGTTCTGTGTAGCAGAAACTGAGAGTAAACCCATGTACGAATGAGGAGAGGATGTAAAACAAGTGTTCACACACGTGAACTACTTCCTGTTAGGGACTACGATCTAATAAAGGAGTAGATTGTGCTTTTTCTGACCTGTTGAATAAAATGCAAACCTGTAAATCACATTATAATTATGGAATAAAAAACAGAAAGACAACTCAAATTGCCTTTTTAAAAAAAAAAAAAAACTTATTTATGCAGGATTTTTCAGAGAAAAACTACCAAACAAAACAATTAGGATGTTTTGATTTAAGTAGATTTTCTATTTTAGAGCTTTTATTGATCAAAAATGTGAAAAAGGTAGAATTGTGTCATAATCACTCATTCCCTCTCCCCCACATTAAAGGCACTTTTTAACTAATATTTTTGTTAATTCAATTTATTCTGCCGTTTTAGGTTTAAACTGTTACATTTGATCCAATATTTAATCTTGATATATAACATTTAATCTAAAAACAATAAAAGAAATAATAAAATACATTTTATCTCAGCCATAGTCATTTATATTATTATGTCTGCTTTCATTCTTATGTTCAAGATCAGTGCTAGATGTTTTATTGCTATTTGTTTACAACAAGACATGTATTGTAATGATTCCTGTGTCCAGTTTTACCACATGTGAGTAATAATGATGTTTTTTGTAATATTTTGTTTGTTTGTTTAGTTTTTTACTGATGTAATTATAGCCAGTAACTAGAGATGCACAATATTATTGGCATGGTATCGGTATCGGCCGATATTAGCGATAAATTTAAATATCGGGCATCGGCCTTCCATTAAAATAACTCACCAATAAGGCGCTGTTTTTGTATGACAACCTAGTGACAAGGACGCCTGCAGCACCAGCACACTTATGACATTACGCGCACCTACCTGCTCTGATCACGGTGGGAGAAGAAATGAAAATGTTGGCAGTGTGGACGTTTTTTAAAGTGACAGCACAACGGCTATTTGCAATGGCTGCTCAGCGTCAGTGATGTAAGGAGGAGCAACAACAAAGTCCTACAGCACTGTCAATGAATAATTTGACATTAAACATAATCAAAGTTGAAGTGTTGCGTCATTTTCAGACCCCTTTTTAGCATCTGCATTTGGTAGCAAGCCAAACTGACAAAGATCATGCAGAAAAATTTATTTTAATTCCACAGCAGAGAAAGCTCTGGAAGCAGGTCTAGGAAAAATATATATCAGTATTGGTCTCGGTTATCGGCCAAATAAAATTTGAACATATCAGATATCGGTCAAAAATCAAATATTGTGCATCCCTATTTGTAACATTACGTGTTCGCATTAGTAGATGCTGATTTCTATTCATATTGCATTGATGTGCACTTATATGTAGGACATTTATGAATGTGAGCAATTGATCATATTTGGTCTTCTGCACTCATTTTTGTGTTGGCAATGTCAAAATGTTAACAAACTGGTAGGAAACACGTGATGACCAAACAGCCTGTGCTTTTTAATTACAGTAAAACACTCCTAAAAGGGCTTTCTTTGAGCTAATAAGCATCTAATTAAAAACAATTTAGGCTCAGTGAGGATTAAAGCAGTAAAGTTGTTGACATTTTGTCACCTTGAACCTAGCACATTAACATTATATCAAAATACAGTACAGAGAGTTAGCACGTTCAGTTTAGCTAAAGATTTTGCTGAAAGTTGTTGCAATACTGTAGTCTCCTCGCAGTTTCTGCTCATTTCAACACACCATCAGAATTTGATGGTGACGAGATCAAAATAATGCAAAATACACCAAAAAAAATAATAACAAAAATAAACAGTAGAAACAGCTCTATATTTGTTTGTTTCGTGGTCATAAAGTAATAGTGGGCAGCAAGAAGAGTAGACTGGTCATAGTTTTGAAAACGTCTCTGTCTCCAGTCTACATGGAAGCACCAGAAACAGATTTTATTTTAAATCTCTAATTTGAAAAACTTTTGCAAATAACTCAATTTGTGAGGAGCAATTGCAGTAAAACGCAAACCTGTTTTAAAACGTATCTGGAATAGTGTGATAAAGCAAGTATTAGTTTGCCAAGATATTAAGAAAAGCAGCGAGCGTAGATCTACTCGGATCAGGTTTGCTTGACATGCTCTGATGGTCGAGCCAATCAGAGTTAGGATCACAAAGTCATAATTTACAGGAAAATTTAGCTTGGACAGAAGCGATACTGGTTTTTTTTATATATATATATATATTTGCATATTATTCTTATTCATACCAGATGTTTTTTTTCATGCCAGACATTTTATTGTACTGCTGTTTGCTTTATCTACCTACCTCGTTTTTTAAATGTGTCATGCAAAATTCCCATTTTTCTTCTGACGTCTGAAGTTTTTTCCGCACCGTTATATTTTATGTAAACTAAGGATGGTTGGATAGTTTGACCAGAGGGACAAAAACAACAAACAGTTCTACAATACGTATATATAAAATACCCATTACGAGGAATATGTTTCGAGATAATCACATTCTACTTAGAAAGCATAAAGCTAACATTTGGACGTTTTGACTTTGCACTCATTTTGTTGACAACACTTGTGCTTGGTCCAACACATTTGTACAAAAACATAAAATACTGGATGAAAAGATCAAGTACAAAGTACCAGTCATAGCACCTTGTTAAGACGGGACGGCAAGACACAGTCTAGTTGCACTAGCTAGTCCAGTCTGCCAAAAGGTCACAGAAATCAAGTTTACTTACTTTCTTTTTTTAATTTTTTTTAATCTTGGGTTCATGTTAGCGTTCCAATATCTTGACCAAAAACAAAGTAAGTGCCCAGAGTTTTAGTCCAACCATGAGTCATTTTGCAATTCTCCATTTTTTTGTAAGTCTCATTCATTCTTGAATCAAAGTATTGCTGCAGCTATATATTCCAATCCTGACCCTACACAATAACCCAGGCATGGATTAAATTATTAAATCATATAAACTTTAAACATATGTAAACCATATTTTGTGAAGAAATAATTCCTAGAATACAAACCAACATCATTAATGTCTTAAGCTTTTCATGAAATAAAGCATCACAGTGTGAATGTGTATATCCACACATTAAAGTCCCATTTTAGGTACTTTTATTCCTCTATTGTGTTCATTAGTGTGTATGTTTGTGCATGCTTGTGTGCTATATGTAAGGGTTTGGAGGTTAGCGTCTGTAGCTCAGTTTTGGCCCTTGAAGCAGTACACTCCATACAGCTTGTGCTTCTTGTCAGGGAAACCATAAAAGCTCACTGCAGCTCCTGAGTGACTGCAGCGTCGTCGGGGGCGAGAGATAGGACTACGGACACTGCCATCTGCCAGCCAGCCAACATCACAGCGGTCGTAGCCTAGAAGTTTCCAGGCTGCAAACATCTGTCCGACCTTGGCGATCTGAGCACCATCCTGTTGACAAGCATTGACAGCCTCGTCGTAGGTCAGCTTTGATGGGTGGATCAGGTAGTAGAACCTACCTGGAAAGTCAACATTAACATTAAGATAAGAACAACAAAGAAAAGACAATTGAACATTCATTCATCCCCTTCCCCTTCCTTCCTGAGTTGTGACAGAATAGGGCAAGTCCAGATATCATCTCAAGGTCTTAACGTGAGATAAAGTAGGCAATGAACAGTTATTTTAAACAATATGTATTATGAACAGTTTTGGAAAATATCCAATTGGCAGTGAAAGGAAAGACCATGATCAGATGTTTGAACTACCCTAATCATTTGGACACTGCTTGAACATTTGGATACTCTGTCCAACTCTGGACTTCTAATCTTATGATAACAGATCCTTGGAAGCTGCAGGCAGAAGCAAGAAGTTTGTCAGCATAGAAAGGCAAGCAAAGTCCAGATAACAACAGTGCTAAGACCTAGCAGATGCTTCCTTTTTCAACCAGTCAGTCTAATCAAACTATGAACCACGAGCAAGCACAGTTATGCCATATTTTAACAACAGGCTGTTATGTAATGAGATAAAGAAATTCATTATTTGTGTCTTTACCTTTAGTAAAAACCACTTTACGTTAAGCCGCCCCGCAAAATACACAATCAGTTGTATTAAGGGTTGATTTTTTTTTTTTTTAACTAAACAAGTACACAGTCAAAGATTTCCCTTGAATCCTATTTACATAGACCCTTATCAGAATTGGATAGCAGGCAAACTCTAAATGTATTAAAAAACAACATTTCATTCGAAGCTTAACTGGGGACTCACACATGGAACTCCAGCATTTAGATGCTTCTTTTACATATACTTGTAGCCATTTATGAATGTGGCACGATCCATTCCATCCTGTTTTAATGCATTTTTTTTTACTTAACCTATGAAGTGAAAAAATACCTTCCCTCACCTTTAAAGTAGGAAGTGAAACAGAACACATCATAATGGTTCTTGTCCTTATCTCTCAGGCCATAGTTACGAATGCCTGGCCTCGTGTTCTTGCCACCACAGGGCTCTCTGGACTTTCTGATGGGATACTGCACTGAGCCATCATTAAGCCAGCCAGCGTTGCACCAGTCCATTCCATCTCTCCATGCATCATACAGCTGGTCAAAGGATGCCACAACGGCATCCTGGTCTTGACATGCTCGCTCTGCGTTGTAAAAATTTAGGTTGTAGCGGCCCAAACGAGGGAAGTAGGGGAAGACAACACCTGCATGGAAAGGTCAAAAACAGGAAAATCAGACATGTGTCAATTGAGTTACAGCTGGCAGATAAATTAAGATTCATCCTGTGAGGTTTTATTCACTTTTTTTTATTGAACCTGATGGTATCATGTCTTGCTGAGTAAGCACAGCTGTTTCCTTGTCAGCCCGGTGCCAGTGCTTTTGACACAAGGGTGTCTGACTATTCTCAAACCTAACAAAACAGCTCTGACACTAATGTACACAATGCTTACAGAACACACTTGCTGTTGACATTCCCCTGAGCAGTCTTTACTGCTGGAGCTAAAAGTAGACTGACTGCAGCTGGCTGTGGTAGAATAACACCTTACTGACGTTGCATACTTATTCCACAACCTCATTCTTTCCTATTTTAAACTGCTAATAAACCCAAATGTTATACCTTCAAGGTCGAGGGACACAACCACCGTTTCATCTTCCAGTCCATCAATGATTTCACATTTATATTTTCCATAATCTTCTAATGTGATTTCTGTGATGACCAGAGAAGCATCCATCGGAGAGGAGCCTTCTAGGTAGACACGTCCATGGAAACGCCCATAGCTCTTTTTATGATAACCCATGGCAACAAACACATTCACCTAGAACACGAAGAATACAAAACAGAGTAATTTTTATAAGATCAGCCAATGTTCAAACACTGGAAAAGTACAGGACATTGTATAAAGAATGAATACATCTAGTGGTAACCATGTGGAGATGCTTGAGCCAGGCTTTGATAATTCAGCAATGTTAACTGCTTAAGGCTGATCTTGACTATACAAGTTCATTTCAGAAGCAGATTGTTTTAACACTAAGTGTATAATTATCCTGTCTCTCTAATGTGTTCAATTTGTAGTCCGAATTTCTCAGCTCTGATTTGATAAAAAAAAAAAAAAAATTGGCACGCAACTTAAGTGTCTTAATTTCAACTTGGAAAGTTGGATATTGTTGGCTAACCACAAATTCCAAATCTGATATGGGAGCCTTGGACATGACAAATAGTGATCATTGTAAATCAATATAAATCAGTCACACACACAAAGTACTGATTAATTGATTTTACTGAACAGGTTATAGTGTTTGAATGTTGTGCAAACTGTTTTTAAATTTTGCCTGCCTATGAGTTATGGTTCTTGCCAACTAATAATACAGACCCATTAGTACTTTGTAATTTATTATAAACTAAAGACAGATTTATTGAAATACTTTTTTTTTAACTTTCACCTGAAGGACAAACTTACGTTTGACTTTGAAATGTGATGATTGCTTTGCATTTTAAATTTTGAAATCTGAATGATTAGATTCATCACTCTTAAATTTAATATGTAACCGGTCTGTTGTTGTTGTTTTTTTTCTTCTTCTTAATTTTAAAGCTCTTTCTGTAGTGGTACATAACAATGGCTCCTTATGTGCCGGCTTGCAGCGCAATAGAAGAACAAATCTAAGACCTACTGTATTCATTAAAACATTTTTCTTTGTGTTTCTTTAGAGACAGATTTTTTCTTCTGTAGATTAAAGCAATAAACAACTTAATGTTAAAGTCAAATGCGACAATGAATGATAAAACAGTAAACATATTTCAGTAATAAGATAATTGATGACCTCTTTAAGGTAGTCTGAGGTCAGTTTAGTCCATTTGATCCTCATCTTGGGATTGGGGGGCAGTGATTGGTCTCTGTGGATCTTGCACGGTAAAGTTGCATTTCCTCCCCGCCTTGACACCACCTTGGATAGATCAGCCACCACTGAGAGTTGGGGACCATTTTCTGTAAAACAGCAACATGCCACAATTACAACCAATGAAATGAACCTGGAACTAGAGTCTAAAGCCACAAATACTGGTTGCCAATAATAAGGATGTCTTAGTACTAGTTTTCTGAGACAGAGTAGAAATACTTCAGTTTGGATACTTGCAGATAGTGAGTACTGAGAAGGTAAGTTAGTACTTAAACCTTATACATTGACTTTAGAAACACATTTCTTTTATTAAGAATACAGCAAACAGTCTTATGTCTTAATATAACATGTTTAGCTTAAAATATCTCTAAACTATAGACATTTTTATTCTTTATCCTAGATTACGTGCAAGTAGAAGAAGAAATAAAAAAGTGGTATCAGTCCTAAGTATTGGGGTGTGTTTATGAGTACAACTACGAGTACTTGAGGCTGGTATCAGGACCAATACTACTTGCCAAATGCAAACATATTTTAGCAGATGCAACACCTAGAGTGCTTTGTTCACCAGTTTATTGGTTGAATGTTGGCACTTCCAAATTTAATTATCAAATCTAAGCAAAGTACTGGGAGAAAAAAATGTTAGATTTGAAACAAAAATATCCAACACATTTTAACAAGCGGGGCAGCACAGTGGCACAACTGGTAGAGCTTCTGCCTCTCAGCGAGTAGGTCACCCTGGTTCAAACCCAAGTCCGGGGGCTTTTCTGGGTGGAGTTTGCATGTTCTCTCCGTGCATGCGTGGGTTTTCTCCGGATACTCCGGTTTCCTCCCACAGACCAAAAACATGCATGTTAGGCTGATTGGTAACTCTAAATTGTCCCTAGGTGTGCATGACAGAGTGAATGGTTGTTTGTCTCGTTTGTCTCTATGTGGCCCTGTGATGGACTTGCGACCCGTCCAGGGTGTACCCCGCCCCTCGCACAGTGATTGCTGGACATGGGCACCAGTGACCCCCGTGACCCAAAAATGGAAGAAGCGGGTAAAAGATAATGGATGGATGGATGGAAGTCACACCCACACATATTGATCAAAAATGTTACATAAATGACAAAGTCCATGCTCAATAATCCAGGTATACAATCCAACATTTTTCAGTCAGGTCACAGTTTCTAAGCTGTGACTTGTACTTTTCTTACCATAGTTTCAAATTATTATAATATTAGTTTTATTTTAGGACTGTTAGTTCACAGGCCAAGACCAGATATTGGTACCACTCGAGGTGGCAAGTTCTAATGATGTATTTTTTGTCATGTAACTGGATAATATGTGAACTTGATAGCACATCCAGAGTGGTAGTTTTGTCAGCTACTGATAATATTGATCATAAAGTGACAAAATTAAAGGGTGATTTTTTTCACATGTACTGTTCGGTCTTGTTATACACAGCCAAGATCCTGTTATTTCACAAAGATCAGACCCAGACACGTTAGACCATATGTGTCAAACTCAAGGCCCAGGGGCCAAATGTGGCCCTCTTTGCCATCTTATCTGGTGCCCAAGATGATATATGAAATGTAAAATATGTCTATCTCTTGAATTTTGTCAGTAATCTTGGATTGTGATATCAAAAGCACAACAGAGAACATTAAATGAGACCAACCAAACTCTTGTTGAGGAAACTGTGACCAAGAAAAGATGTTGGGTATCTGATTTGAGTTAATATAGATTTTGAAACTGGCCCTTAGTTTGAAAAAGGTTTTAATTTTGGCCCCCTTTTTAAGTGAGTTTGACACCCCTGCATTAGACAAATGTTCACTTACATGGTGGCTCTACAATCAGTCATCTGTTATTGTGTACTGAGCAGGACTAGAGACGTTTATTCAACTTATATTTAAACAGGTTAGTCCCATTGAGCCATGAGGACTCATTTACAAGAGAGACCTGGACATTAGTCCAGTTCTACATCTGTACCAGAATCATCCAACTCAACATCTGCTTCTTCATCATATTTAAAGTATATAGTATAGATTATTCACAACCCCTTGGTGAATAGCTTTATGTGACAATGTTATAAGTCAAATTAAAAGAATAACTGTATTTCATTGTGTTTTGTTTTGCTTGGTCCCTCTCATCACTGCATCCACAATAACTGCCCCATCGCACAGTGTGACCAGCAGTGTTTCGCTCAGGCTGCTGTATAAGCATATGGGTGAGCAATAAGCACAGCAGCTAATGATGCATCGATCCTATGTTCTGTGCTGAAAGGCTGTTAAAGGGAGAACATGTGTTTTGTGTTTCTTTAAACTGCTTCTTCATCAAACCACTGTCACTGACGCCTGCACAGTTCCTGATAATGCTGAAAGCACACCACACTCATTTGGTCTTAAACATAGAAAATTTGGAATACGCTCAGTCATTTAGTGACCTGATACTCACATAATAGCATTAGTTGTTTTTTTGTTTGTTTTTTAATGGGCGTTCATTTAATTCCCAAGTATTTAGGTGTTTTTTTCAGCTTAATAACACTTAATTGGTGTTTCTGTCGAATATAATAATTTTTGAGTGGCTTATTAATTATTTCAAAGTCACTCAATGTGTTTCAATTTTCAATTTGTTACTTCGACATTCATAATAATTATCTAAACCTTGCTGTTCTTTTACAATAACTGCTAATCACTTATTTTTAAGTTATTAGTCTGTTTAGTTAGATTTTTTGGTTAGATCATAGAATCAAGTTGGTAAATTCATTCACAAGAAAAATACTAAAATATTACATTTACATCAATTTTCAAAGCTCCTGTTTCTCTTGATCACAATAATCTGTTTATACACACTGATCAGAGTCTTCTTGGTAAATTAAAATGATTGGGCATGTATTGGAAAGTCGCAGAGCTCTCTGTAGAAGACCTTCTCTCTAGAAGACAGTTACCAAAAACAAGCTATGGGGTCAAATAAATTGCTGCAGAGCTCAGAGTCTTGCAAGAGTCTTGCAAGGCACATATCTGGTGAAAACTATATAAAATCTGGTGCACTTAAGGTTTCCAAGCAGGGCCCATGATCATCAAATGGAAGACATTTGGCCAAACCAGGAGGACTCTGGTCAACTGGTCACACTGAGAAATCGAGGGGAGAGGCCTCAGTGAGAAATGAATGTTCACTCTGAGCTTCGGAGGTCTGTGTGAAGATGGGAATACCGTAATTTCCACCGTATATGTCGCATCAGTCTAAACATGTCTAAAAAGTGGAAAAATCCATAAATGTGTTGCTTTGCCGTTTACGTCGCATCTATTATGCGGCACTGCTGACAACCCGGAAATGTGGGTCGAACCCAGGAATGTGGGCCGATTTTGTGCCAAAAATCAATTAGCTGCCAAATGGCGGCCGCGGAAGCATGCACGGGAGGACTTTAACAAGAATGTAACAAGATTAACACTTTAAAAAAGTTATTTGTTTGCTCGAAATTATAGTAAAGGTGTCTCTCAGTCTAACTTTTGCCTAATAAATGCACTTTGGAGGTCAAATCAGCTGTATTTCAAAAGTATTCGCTGCCTCGGTGCTCCGGCAGAGCACAGAGGGAGGAAATCAGAAAGGAAGAACGCTGCTCCTTTCTTAGAAAATTAACAAGAAAAGCACCTAAAACAATTATTTGTTTGCTCAAGATTATAACAAAGGTGTGTCTCAGTTGAACATTTACTTAAAAAAAAGCACTTTAATGGTCAAATTAGTTGCATTTCTGTGAAGCAGTGCAGGCTGGTTTGACGGTCACTCCAAGCAGCGCAGAAAGAAGGTGTGCTTGTGTATTGGGGGGGGGGGGGTGTATGTGTACTATGGCAAGCCGATTGAGTCATTAATAGCTGGTGAAGATTCTCAGTCATCCAGGACATGGTAAATTCAAAAAAGTTCAAGACAAAGGCAATAAAGTATGATAAATAAAGTCCAGTTGTTTTTGTCTTGAACTTTTTTGAATTTGTCATTATAGCCACGTTTACATATTACATGATACAACGGCATGCCTTGCTGCTAATTCTACTCTGCTGCCATCTATTGGTTGAAAGTGGTACTGTTCTTTTTTTTTCAGTCAGAATGAATGAAAATGGTCATATCTCAGTCAAAAATTGGTTTCTAAATATGGGAAAAAATCCATAAATATATTGCTTCAGCTTATAAATCGCAGGGCATGTACATTATGCAAAATAATCCAACTTATAGGCCAAGAATACAGTAAGTTTTGAAAGAACAACCACAATGGCATATCTTCACCAATATGGGCTTTATGGCAAAGTGGCTGGATAGAAGAAGTGCATTTAAATCATGTTTAATATTTGACGCAACATTTGAAGGCCTGTTTGGAGGTTTAAGTGTGTAAGGAACAAGAATCTCCATTCAGATGAAACCAAGATTAAACTGCTTGACTTCAATTTTAAATGTAATGACTGGAGGAACCCAGGCACTGTTCATCACCTGTCCAACACTATCCTAACAGTGAAGCATGGCGGTGGTAGCATCATGCTGTGTGAAGTGTTTTTCAGCTGTAAGGACAGGATACTGATCAGGGTTGAGGGAAAACTGAATGGTGCAAATAACAAATGCTTCTACAATCTGTTTCACGCTGCTCAAGATCTCAGACTGAGCCAAACGTCCATTTTCTAACAAGACAATGACAAAACACAAAGTGATAAGAACACAGGAGTGACTTGAGGACAACTCTGTGAGTGTCCTACAGTGGATCTGCAAACAACCCTGATCTAAACCATATTGAACATCTCTGGAAAGACTTGAAAATGGCTCCACCTAGAGTCCCCATCCAAACAGATTGAGCTTCAGGTGATGTGCAAACAAGAATGTCAAAAATGCTATCAAGGTGTAGGTGCACAAA